TAGGACTTCGGCCTGCGGACTGAAGGGTCCCAGGTTCGATTCCGGTCAAGGGCATGTACCTTGGTTGCAGGCACATCCCCAATTGGGGGTGTGCAGGAGGCAGCTGATCGATGTTTCTCTCTCATCGATGTTTCTCTCTATCCCTCTCCCTTCTTCTCCGTAAAAAATCAATAAAGTATATTTAAAAAAAACTTGAGGTGCTGGGCAGCTTGCCATCCTAAGTTGTTCTGTAAAAGTAATTTGTTATCTCGTGTGAATATTACTTTGATTTTTAAAAAATATACAAATTTGCCCTGCTTCTGTGTAAACCAGCTCTCCTCCAACCACTAGGGGGCAGTATGTTACAACTAAAAGCTTGGAGTGGGACACTGGGATTATTCAAATTCCAACCCTTCCATGGATTAACAGTTATAAACTCTGGATAAGACTAAAATAATAATAAAAATAATAATAATAATAATCAAAGGTACTAGAAAGTGAACAGAAACAGGCAGGAACTGGAGGGGAACTGAGATTCACAAAAAGGAAAGGCAGTGGGTGACTTTCTCATCAGCACAGCTTTCAGCCGGGGGGCCAGTGTCTGGTTCACCCCCAGGGGCAGGAACAACACCCAGAGGGAGACCACAGGCTTCCGAGCCTGAAGCCCCACAGCAACAGCGAAGTGGGGTACACACCTGGGGAAGAGAGAGCCAGCCGGCTGGCGGGGCTCAGAGGTTGAGCGTCACCTACGAGGCAGGAGGTCACCGTTCGATTCCCAGTCAGGGCACGTGCCCGGGTTGCGGGCTTGATCCCCAGTAGGGGCGTGCAGGAGGCAGCCGATCCATGATTCTCTGTCATCAGGATGTTTCTATCTTTCTCTCCCTCTCCCTTCTTCTCTGAAATCAATAAAAAAAAATTTTAAAGAGAGAGAGAGAGAGAGAGAGCGAGACCATAAATCCTAGTATTGAGGGCTCACTTTTGGTTGTGGTACATTCTACAGGTTTTGACAAATGTAAAATGATGTCCATCCACCGTTACAGCATCGCACAAAATCGTTGCACTGACCTAAAATCAGGGGCATTTTTTAAAAGATGATTCTTTTTTTTTTTTCCCAACACATTTTATTGATTTTTGACAGAGAGGAAGGGAGAGAGATAGAGAGTCAGAAACATCGATGAGAGAGAAACATCGATCAGCCGCCTCCTGCACATCCCCCACCGGGGATGTGCCCGCAACCCAGGCACATGCCCTTGACCGGAATCGAACCCGGGACCCCCGAGTCCGCAGGCCGACGCTCTATCCACTGAGCCAAACTGGCCTCGGCAAAAGATGATTCTTTAAATATGTTATTAATTTTTAGAGAGAGGAAGGGAGAGAGACATAATAATAATAATAATAATAATAGTAATAATTAAAGGCACTAGAAACTGAACAGAAACAGGCAGGAACTGGAGGGGAACTGAGATTCACAAAAAGGAAAGGCAGTGGGTGACTTTCTCATCAGCACAGCTTTCAGCCGGGGGGCCAGTGTCTAGTTCACCCCCAGAGGGAGACCACAGGCTTCCTAGCCTGAAGCCCCACAACAACAGGGAAGTGGGGTACACACCTGGGGAAGAGCCAGCCAGCTGGCGTGGCTCAGAGGTTGAGCGTCACTTATGAGGCAGGAGGTCACCATTCAATTCCCAGTCAGGGCACGTGCCCGGGTTGTGGGCTTGATCCCCAGTAGGGGGCGTGCAGGAGGCGGCCGATCCATGATTCTCTGTCATCAGGATGTTTCTATCTTTCTCTCCCTCTCCCTTCCTCTGTGAAATCAATAAAAATATATTTTGGGGAAAAAACAACAACAAAACCCCAAAGAATCATGATGCCATATGAATGTAATTCCTTGCCCTCTAAATAGTTTTTTGCTTTGAAACATTGAAAAGAGA